GCTTGGTAAGCTCCTCTGCCAGCTCCTTCAGCACTCTTGGGTGGATCCCATCCGGTCCCATAGACTTGTGGATATCCAGGTGGCATAGCAGGTCAAAGACTGCTTCCTCCTGGATTATGGGGGGTTCATTCCACTCATTATCCCCATCTTCCAGCTCGGAAGGCTGGGTACCCTGGGGATAACTCATCGGGCCATTAAAGACCGAGGCAAAGAAGGCATTGAGTAACTCAGCCTTTTCCTCGTCTTTAGTGACAATGTTCCCCCTTGCATCCTCTAGAGAATGGAGGTTCTCCCTGGCTCTCTTCTTGCTGTTAACATATTTATAAAAACTCTTCTTATTATCCCTTACAGCAGTGGCCAGGTTAAATTCCAGCTGGGCTTTTGCCTTTCTAATTTCCTCTCTGAAAGAAGTTCTTCCTCATATTCAACTGAAACCTCTTATGCTTCATTTTGTGCCCATTGCCCCTTGTCCTGTCACTGGGCACCACTGCAAAGAGTCTGGCTCCATGCTCATGACATCCACCCTTGAGATATTTGTACATGTTGATTAGATCCCTTCTGTCTTCTCTTCTTCAGGCTAAACAAGCCCATCTCTCTCAGCCTTTTCTCATAGGGGACATGCTCCAGTCCCCTAATCATCCTTGTTGCTCTCCTCTGAACTCTTTCTAGGAGTTCCTCATCTTTCTTGAACTGGGAATGGAGATTTCACAAATTCTCTGTTCTTCTCCCTGTTCCGATCTTTGACTGCCCTCATTGTGAATTTTTTTCCCTAAAGCCTAATTAGGCTTTAAACATACTGTATCCTATGTCTGTTGCCTTTTATCTTGTTAACTGTGCAACTCCCAAGAAGATTCTGGTTCCATCTTCTCTATCTTGTGGCCTTAAGTTGTTAAAGATAGGTTCATAATTTCTTTACCATAGGTTCTTAATGTCTGTTTAAATAACTTGTGAAGCACCTGGCAATGTGCATAGTGTATCCTGGAACTTGTACTCTAAAACACTAGTGGTTATATCCTGACTACAGATGCTGGAAATAGTTGAGGGTAGAGTTCTCTGCCTATATATATGTCAAGTCCACAAGTCAACTCTGGGTAACCTCCAGCTGCATTTTTTTTTGGTGGATTCACACTTGATTCAAAATCTAGTAAGGCCTTTTTAACAATCCAGGAGCAGTTTAGTGCCTTTTCAAATTACCTGTGATTTGTTGCATAATGGTAAAACTTTTTTGCTTCTTTGAATTTCCTCAAATGTCTTTCAACATCAGAACAAATTTCTGAAACTTTGATTCATAATTTGACTTGGTTGCCTTGTCCGTTGGTCGCGTCAGTTGCATGTTGTTTTGTGTACTGATAGATTGAGGTCCTTTTTATGCCTAACATACTTCATATAACTGAGGAGGTTTGCCTATATATGACATTTTCTGATTACAGATGACAAACCTGTGTTTGTATACCAAGAAAACTATTGGCCTTTGTTTATAAAACTGCCAGCATGGTTTGTGTGATCAAATATCTTGCCCTCCTCTGATTCATGTCAGTAGGAAAGTGATGAGTTCTTTTTTTAGAGGGGATGTGGACTTACTATTTGTCATTGTATGCTGCTAGCACATACTGCTGTTTTTCAAATGAGAGGTCAGCTGCT